GGGGCTAGAGACAGCGAGTGAGGAATAAACTCGCGGCAGTGGAACGGATTGTGAGTTCGTTTCAGTGGAAGAGAGAAAAGGTCTAAATAGACTTGTTTTGTCGAACAGTTTTTTCGCATTTATTAGTAATAAGTTAACACTATTAAATATTTTGCTAAAAAAATTGGTAACAAAAATTACAACTTAACGAAATAATCCTTTAAGTTTTAAATATTAAATTGTTATAAAATTTTGTTTATTTTAATATAGATATGATATTTATTTTATGTAATTCAAATTTATAAATAATAAATATTTTTCTATAAAAATTATATTTAAATTTATTATAAATAATTTATATTGTTATATAAAACTCTATTAATCATTGAATTTTTTTTAAAATATATATTAAAATTAAATTTAACAAATAAAAATTGATTAAAAAAAGTGATTAAAGAGACTCTTAAAAAACGTTTTCAATAAAAAAAGACTTACTAAACTCGTTTAATATAATTATCTAATTTATATATAAAAAGTTTTTAAAATCTTTAATATATAATTATTTTTTACTGAAAATATAGTCTAAAAATTACCTTATTCTATTTTTTTTTCTTTTCATTTCTTTTCATACATCCCTTTAGTGGTCTCATTTTAAATAAAATAATAAAAGATTTGATTTCAAGAATTAAATTAATATAAAGTTATAATTGTTAAATGAATAATCAATAATTAACATTTTAATATATTTTCTGCTAAAAGATAAAGTAGATCTGTGAAGTATAATTGTATAAAATAAATTAAAATTTTCTAACGTTAGAATTAATCCATGTACTTAGTTTTCATACAAGCTTTCCAATATTTTTTTACCAATAAAAATTACAATAATAATCTTATAGTTCAAACCAGTGTTTTAAAAACCGAACCGGTCATTGAACCAGTGAAGGTACTAAGTCAATAGGTCAGAGATTAGACCGGTCGGTCACTTATTAAACTGCATGCCCAGGATTCTATTAAAAAAATTAAAAAAATATTTATGTTATATATATTTCATACCTATAAATTTATTTAAAAAAATCACTTAAAGAAACTCCAAAAAAAAATTACAAACACATTTTAAAATTTAATTAAAAAATATTAATAGTATTTTTTTTTTGTTCGTCCCTGGAGTATCCATTGGAGGCACCTCAAAGAGTGGGATAGCTGACCCCAAGATTTAACGCGGCTGCATACACAAGGCAGGATTCGAACCCCTGACCTTGCTTAAGCGTGGATCAACCCCTACCGCTGAACCACACGCTTGGGATTAAAAAATATATATATAAAAAAAAAAAATATATATATATATATATATATATATATATAAAAATAAAATAAAAAATATTAATAGTATAAGTATTTTACAAATTATTTCGTTGATTTTCATAATATGATGTGCATTGTTTTGTATAAACTCAATGAACCTGAATCAAATAACTCAATTAATGAATCTTATAACTTGATGTGACGGTGTAGTGGTGTGACGGAGTGGCGGTGCAGCGATGTGATGATGCGGTGCGGTGGTGCGGCTGTGCAACGGTGCAGCAATGTGATGGTGCGACGATGGTACGGTGCGGTGGTGCGATAGCGGAATGGCATACGGTGTCCTAGCAAGCTAGCAACGCAAGTTACACAACAATGAACAACCCAACAAGTCTCTGGCTCTCTACAACTGCAACTAGTGAAAATGGGGTTGGGTTTGTGACTTTGTGTCTCAAAATCAAAATCTGAAAAGGAACTTAGGGTCTGGGAAACAATAAGTGTAAGCGCAGTGTGCAGCAGGGACATTTTAAAATCGAAGGTTTTATTCTAAAATTTTCAAATTAAGAAAACGACGTCGTTTAATTTTTATTTTTTCAAAAAAAGTGATGACCCGGTTTGGGTCATGAAACCCGCGAGTGGATGGTTCAACCGAGATTTTAACCGGGTCACACTGAGTCATACCAAGTTTGTTGCACATCTGGTCTAATCAATGGTTCGGACAGTCAAACTACCAGTTTCCGGTTCTATCGGTTCGAACTATTCGAACCGGTCGTTCGAACCGTTCGAACCGGCCGTTCGAACCGAGTTTTAAAACACTGGTTCAAACTCCAAATTATACATATATAATTTCGATCCCTTACCATTAAACTGATTTTAGCAATTTAGAAGTTCTCTTATTTAATTATTCTTTGTACTATAAGGTGATACGATAACAATTTATTTAAACTATTAAAAAAAATATAAAATAATTATTTATTTCTTCAAAGATAGAAAATTGCATATTTTAAAGTACTCAATTTAGAAAAACATATAGAAAAATATTTGTTATTAAAAATTAAATAAAAAAATGAACAATTAATATATATATATATAAAAAAGAAAAATAATATTTTGGACCAGTTTAAGATACATATTTAAAGAATATCATAAACTCTATATTGTCGTCTTATAATAATTTTGAAAATAGAAACATAATGCATGATCTTTTTTATAAGTTTTTCTTTTAAAAAAATAATTTATTCAAAGATCATATTGGATTAAACATGTCAATTTAATTCAAGTTCAAGATTTAAAATTTAAATCTATATGTAACCAAACAAGTTTACCCGACCCACAAACTAGCTCATTCAAAATATCTACAAGCTATACTCTATTACAAAGAAGAAAAAAGAAATAACAAAATAATATAAAAAAACATAAACTAATTTTTTGTCACACAAGGTTAAACTTTTTGGCAAAGGATTATCTCTCACTTTAATTACACACATGAATACATTTCTAAGAATTATCAAAATAATCTTTTCATAGATCTTATAGATAAAAAAAAATAGAAACATGTAATTTTTCATTATGTGATTTAAAAATATATATTTTTACTTAGTGATGTAGTTTGTTTTGATATATCCTCTAATATTTAAATTTAAAAAATTATTTAAATAAAGATATTTTTAATAGAAATTCTATTGCAATCGAAAAACTTAAAATTAAAATAAATATTACTTTGTAAATATCATCCGTATATGTAATAGTGTTATGGTTTTTATCTTCTCACTCACAGTTCTCTTCAAAGACCTCAATGGTAAGCTCTCTAACATTGCTCGATCACAAACATCAAGAGTGTTCCACCTCCCATAATGTTGTCTGGGACCACCAAGGCTTTGGATACATTTGTCCAAATTAATACGGTATCAACTATTTTATATAAAACATCTGTCCATAAGACTAGTTAGAGATTAAAATGAGCATAACAAATACAAATAAAAAGAAGAAAGGGGGCATTATATAAACATAAAAAAAAAAGCCTTCTTTGCATCTTAAGCTTTCGCTTCTGCCTGCTCATTAGATCAACTGCATCTTCTATTAGATACAGTCTTTGAGGTAGACCATTAATGCACAAGTGACAGCTGCATGAAAGGGAGTTCCTAAGGAAAGCTACAAAATGAAGGCTGACATGCATTAATAAATGACTCAAACATATTAACTCACTTCCAGTAAAAACAGCCACGTTGTCACAAGATAATCCATTAAATACAATATGAAGCAAATATATTAATGCAATAATCAAGGTAAGTAACTCAATACAAGCTATTCTATTTTAGAATATCATTTCACTTAATAGATGCTGAAACATAATAAAACAGCAAGTCATTGAGACACAACTTCACATACTAGAGACATCTCCAATGACTGAAATCCCCTCCAATGTATTCAACATCTTTGTTCGACAGCATGAAATATTCATTACATATCTGAAAATATACATTAAGATTATGTACTAAATAAAACAAAAAATAGACAGGCGTATTTATAAAAGCAAATATGAAACAATTAGACAATATGATATATGCTTGTTTCATTTGGCTCTTCACTTTTCCGACTAGGCAAACGTGACGGCTTGCTTGCTAGGTTTGCATACAGAATTGGTTGTTGGGCAAATGTAAATAGTGCTATAAAAAAAAAAAGCAACATACTACTTGTGTGAATCAAGGAGGTAATATAAGTTTAAAATCTAACAAAAAGCAAGTATTAATAAATAAAGAGTTAATCATTTATACATTGTCAGTGTAAAGTTTTTTTACACTGGTAACCAATCATATCTTTTAATAGTGTCATGTCAGTTGCTTATTTAATAAAATAATAATAAAATAAGCAACTTAAAAAGATATGATTGGTTGCCAGTGTAAAAAACTTTACACTAGCAGATGATTAACTCATAAATAAAATAGAAAATAGACAAATGTATTTATAAAAGCAAATCTGAAACAATCAGACATGATATATGCTTCTTTCATCTGGCTCTTGACTTTTCCGACTAAGCAAAAGTAACACGAACAATAAGCAACATACTACTTGTGTGAATCAAGGGAGTAATATAAGTTTAAAATCTAACCAAAAAGCTGAGAGAAGAACAAAGGAAAAGTGCATCACAAAGTAAAAATTATATTCTAGTATAGTTAAACTTATTGCAATCTGCTGATTTCCCATCTTGACCGGCCCGTCCAGCTCCTTGATAGTAGGCTTCCAATTATTTAAGATTTCTTCAACTCTATAATTAATAATGCAGGAGAAATGTACTTGAAAAACAAACTTGTGGCCAACCATAGTGGATGATTCTTCTGACATTTTTGATTTGTTAATACCCATTCCAAAAGCTATCGCGGCAACAATGACCTGATTAATAAAACACATGCATACAGCAAACATGTTATTTGAAAAATCATTTTATGGTTCCAGAATGAAGGAAATGATTGAAATTCTGTAGTAAACACAAACAACATGGGAATAAACAAGGGTAAAAACAATTCAGATCCGTGTCTCGAAATCACCAAACTTACACAAAATTCAGCTCTTCATTTTTTTGAGCGCTTGATTATGTAAAGACTTAAGCAGTAGAAAACAATAAATTACAAAGAAACACCAGACTTACTAATAAATAATAAATTCAACTATTAAAAAATTATCTTAATTTCTTTTATACATCAACTTACTCCATACATAATTTATTTTATGGACTAGCTTCTTAATTTTATTTTATTTTTATAAAAATATTTAAATTAAGATAAATTGATTTTAATATAGAAGTAATAATTTAACCAATATTAATTTTTAAAAAAATTAATATTTAAACAAGAATTAAGATAATCACATTTTCTATAAAATTGTAATAAATACATCAATTAACAAAAAATAATCAATAACCAACACAATCTTTCCTAATCTTTGAAAATATCAAGTCATTTTATATTTGATTGCACATTCAAATATTTTAAATATTAACAACGTTTAGATCCAATGAGAACTTTAGATACAATGAAGATCATCCATGATGCATACATCAAAATTCACATCAGCAAGCAAGGGATTAGAAATAGTCAGACAACTAACTACAACAACTTTGATTATTTTAAACCAAATCTAAGAGCCTTCATACAGAAAATATCGGAAAGGGGCAAGTAGTTAGTCATATACATACAAACAAGAATGAAGTTCAATTCAAAATTAGAGAAGGACTCCAGCCTCATTGCACCCCAAACACAAGAAAACAAGAATCATAAAAAATAGAAATAAGAATCGAGTTCAACTCAAAATCACAGAAGGAAAAGCAATCATGATCGTATCTCAATTTAATAGACAAAAAAAGATAAAGAAAAGAAAAGCAAACGAAAGCACTACTTACACTTGTCCATGTTCTTCGGCTTCTTTATGTTGTCTTAATGTTGTTTCTGGAAGGCCATTTGAACTTCGAAGAAAGAAAAAACAGATGAAAGAGGCGCGGAAGAGAACTCTTCGAAGATAGAAGAAGCAAAAACAGAGGAAGAGCACAGACACACTTAAGAACGCTTAAACTCCGGACACAGTAATGCATTTCTGACTGGTGTAATCAATTTAATTATTATTGTCAGTTTATGAGCTAATTTTTTATTAAATATTAATTATTAAAATATTATCTTAATTCATTTTATTAATCAATTTAATTCAAGGTTAATTTATTTTATAGGCTAAATTTTCATTTTATTTTTTTTTATAAAAACATATTTAAAGAAATAAAAAAAAATGGAAAATGCAGGAAAAACCAAAACAAAAAACTAGAAATTGCAAAAACGAAAAAGCACATCTGTGCAAAAAAAAAATAGAAAGAAAAAACTGTGAAACCCCCACATCAGCCAAGGTGGTAATATATTAATAATACAAAGGTGCTTACATTAATATTTATTAAATTTGTTAATTTATAATTATTAATATTTAGCTTGTGTAACATAGGGATAAATACTTATTTTATGCAATTCAAATTTATAATTAATAAATCTTCTATATATAAATTATATTTTAAACTTATTATAAATAATTTATATTGTTATATACAACTCTTTTAATCTTTGAAAACTTTTTAAATACATATTAAAATTAAATTTAACAAATAAGAATGATAAATAAATAAAAAAGTGATTAAAAGAAACTCTTAAAAAACACTTTCATTAAAAAAAAACTTCCTAAACTCGTTAAATATAATTGTTCTAATTTAAATATAAATAGTTTTTTTAAATCATTAATATATAATTATTTTTTACAGAAAAAATAATCTAAAAATTATCTTATTCTACTTTTTTTTTCTTTCCATTTCTTTTCATACACCCCTTTACTGATCTCATATTAAATATAAAATAATAAAGGATTTGATTTGAAGTTATAGTAGTTAAATGAATAATAAATAATTAATATCTTAATATTTTTTCTTCTAAAGTGAGAATAAAGTAGATGTGAGAAGAATAATGGTATAAAAGCTTTTTTTAAACTAAAATTAACTCATGCACTTTTTAGCAATAATAACTTTAATGTTGAAACTCCACATCTTATGTATGTAATTACAATTGCTCACCATTAAACAGATCCTAGTAATTCAAAAGCTCTCTTATTTAAACAGATCCTAGTAATTCTCTATGCTGATACAAGAACAATTTATTTAAACTTTTCAAAAAATGATTATAAAATTATTATTTATTTCTTAAAATATAGATAATTGCTTATTTTTAAAATAATAAATTTAGACAAACATATAGAAAAATAGAAATAAAATTATTATATTAAAAAAAATTAAATAAAAGAAAAACAATTTACTCTGGCCAGTTTATTATACATATTAAAAGAATATAATAAACTCTATATATATTGTCAGCTTATAACAATTTTGAAAACTAAAACAAAGGCATGATCTTTCTATAATTTTATATATATTTTTTAAATTATTATAGTCAAATTCAAAAACAGGTTTGGGGCCACCAAGATTTTGGGATCCATTTGTACAAATTAAAAAGTTATCAACTATTTTATAATAAAACATAAGTCCTGTCCATAAGACTAGCTAGAGATGATAAAGAGCATAACAAACCCAAATAAAAATAAGAAAGTGGGGGCATTATATAAGCATAAAAACAACACCCTGTTTGCAACAAACTTGCTATCTCAAGCTTTGGCTAGTGCCTGCTCTTTAGATAAATTGCATCTTCTTTTAGATACGGTCTTTGTGGTAAACCATTAATGCACACGTCACATCTACATGAAGGGGGTGTAACACCCCAGTTTTTATTTCATTTTTTATTTTATTTTATTGAGAGTATTTTGGTAATTTTTATAAATATATAGGGGTGATTTAGTAGCTTGGAACGTGTAACGTAATAAGTTATTTCAGAAGGCCCAAAAGCCCAATATGAGTGATTCAATAGCCCAAAACGAGCCGTTCCCAAGCTAGAACGGACCGTTCCAAACTAGAACGGGCCGTTCCAAACTGGAACAGGCCGTTCCAAACTACTGAATTGACCTATAAAATGTAATTGAGAATGGAGTGTTTCAAACCCTAGAACAGGCCGTTCTGGATGGAGTACGGGCCGTTCTAGATGGAGTATGGGGCGTTTTGGAGGGAGTACGGGCCGTTCTGGATGGAGAACGGGCCGTTCTGGATGGAGAACGGGCCGTTCTGGTTCAGTCCCAAAACGGGCCGTTCTGGTTTCAGAACGGGCTGTTCTGCATGTAATTTTTACACATGATGAAGGGGTACAGAACGCGTCGTTCCGGATTCGGAACAGGCCGTTCTGGCCACTCCTGAACTTCTATAAATAGAGTTGGGTGGTTGAGGAGAAAATGAGGTTTTTAGAGAGAAGTTTTAGAAAGAAGGACTCTGGGTCTGTGAGCTCCTTTCTCTCCCAAATTTCTCTGTATGATTCCTTTTCTCCTCTAGATCACTAATGCCTTCTGTCTTTTCTTGAAATTCGGACTAGGAAGCTTGCTTTGGGTGGATTGAAGTTACGGGTTGAGCTTCGGAAAGGGAATTCCGCTTCTTGGCTATTTTGAGTCAATCTTCAGGTAAGGGAAGCTAGATTGTAAAGTTGTTGGTTGTATGTGAGTTGGGAACTCAGTTGGGTACTTAGGTTGATTAGTATGAGTTGTGTTATGTGATGAAAATATTGTGTGTTGCTAATATATGATTAAATATTTACTAATGATGTTGTTGGAGATGCATGTTGTAGTTAAGTTGTGAAGTTGTTTACAAGTTGTGTGTTGATCTATGATATTGTTGAAGCTAGTTAAAATTAAGTTGATAAAGTTGCTATATGTTATCTGTGGATATGTATATGTTGTGAAGTGCATGATGATAATATTGTTAAGTTGTTAGAGAAAAGTTGTATGTTGTTATAAAGTTGTATGTTGTGCCATGTGTTAAAAATATATTATTTTATGATGATTGAGTTGATTCTACTGTTTAAAGTTAAAATGAGATGTTGTGTTGTTAAAATGTGTTGTTAAACAATGTGGATGAGTTGTTATGCTGATAAACTATGTTGTTCAAGTTGAATGTTGATTGAGATGATGAGTTAAAAAGTTGTATGTTATTTAAGTTGTTAAGCTGATTAAGTTGTGATGATGAGTTGTGATCACTAGGACTAGGGGAGATATTTTTGAAGTTGCTCATCCTATTGTGTGGATTGAGATAGTTGTGGTGCTCTGAGAGCCCAATTTGTTGAAAAACCCTCCTTGGGAAGTTGTCTCTTGGAGTGGACGTTGTGTTGTTCTCCTCTAGGACTTAGTTGATCCCGTGTGTGGGAAAGGTCGAGGCACACGTGTACAAAGCGACCATGGTATAGGGGCCAGGCCGAACTATAGTTGCTCAAGTTGTCTATTCAAGTTGATATAAAGATGCCTATTGTTGTGAAGTAGTATAAAGTTGTTTGTTGTTGTAAAGTTGTAAAGTTGTCTATTGTTGTAAATTTGAAAAGTTGGGGACATATGGTGAAGATATATGTCCTATGTTGAGATACATAGTACTAAGGAGATAAGTTGAAAGTTGTTTTAAAGTTGAATCTTTTAGTACTATGTGAGCGACATGGAAATAGTCGATCCATGTCATGGTTGAATGACCAATTTGAGTAATGTATCTAGTTAGAAATGTAGTCTTTGACTAGGTACTGGAGGGTGTTTGGTACTAGAAGGACAGTGAGTGGGCTAACTCCATATGTGGATTGGTGATGCAGCCAAGGCCGTGGTAGGCTCATACCCAAACCCTTCTATCCTGACAGTAGTACTGGACTTCCGAGTCTAAGTGGCACACATGAGCAATCACCTATTGTTGTCTATACCTGGTTCTCTTCGGAGTTCCTAACATTGTTCTATACCTGACCTGGTTGAGATAGGTCAAACATTGGATTGGGTAGGGTTTATGCTACCTAGACTGCTCAACCTCAGTTATTGGAGATCTCCGAGTTGAAATGCATAACGACGCATAAGTTGTTGATGAGTTGATTTGTTGTTGATAAGAGTTGTATCTATGTTGTTATGTTGTTAAGCTGTGATTGTGTGTATGTTGACCCTATTAAGGATGATGATAGTGTTGTTATGTTGTAAGCTGTTTTAAACATGTGTTGTTGAAAGATGTGTAATATATGTGTTGTTTGTCTTCTGTGTCGGATGTGAAGATGATTATAGTTGTTATGTTGCATATTTGATATTTATGAGTTGTTTATTGTCTCTAGCTTACCCTTACATGTTTCCATGTAGTTTGGACTACGATGATCATACGTTGTATGGGAGCAGGGCATGGATAGACTGGAGATAGCTGCTAGAGGCCACAGGAGGTGCCTGGAGATGGATTTTTTTTTGTAGGCTACCTTATAGTAGCATATTTTGTTGTATATAATTGGTTGTCGTTGGTTGCTTGATTAGCAACTTGTGTTGTAAATATTTTATTATACTATTTTAGTATATATATTCCAGTAGTGTGTAGTGTTGTTTCGTAGTGTGACGTGGTTGCTTGATTAGCAACTTGTGTTGTAAATATTTTATTATACTATTTTAGTATATATTTTTCAGTAGTGTGTAGTGTTATTCGTAGTGTGACGGCCATGGCGGGTCGTTACAGAACGGACCGTTCCGGAATTGGAACGGGCCGTTCCAAACTACCAAAATGAATGTGAGTTAGTAGCCCAAAACGGGCCATTTGAAGTTGGAACGAGCTGTTCCGGACTATTAAAACTGCCTATAACCCTATATGGGAACGAGCTTGGAACGGGCCGTTTCCAAAATATGGTCGTTGTGAGTAATAAATGCAAATCAGAACGGGCCGTTCTGGTTTGAGAACGAGTCATTCTGGATGTATTTTTTACCCATGATTTAGGGGTCCAGAACGGGCTGTTCCAGATTTGGAACGGGTAATTCCGGCATAGCCTGATACCTATAAATTGAGCTCTCTACCACTCCCAATAGGCAAACCTCTCATTTTCTGATTTCTTTTCTTCTGCTCTCTCTTCTTTCCCTCTACTTTCTGCTTCAGACCGAGGGGAACCCAACGAGGGAGACCAACCAGATCTTGTGTACGTTTAGCTTCTACATATCAAGGTACGGGAGAAAGGGGAATTATTTATGTGTAGAGTTACATGAGAAAATTGGGTAGAGGAGGAATCTCGTAGGATTAGGGGTAATTTAATAATTATTTCTGTTTGAGAAATTGATGATCCTATTAGACTGTATATGTATTGAAGATTAGAAATATGCTAATAATTTGTAAGAATGATGATCTGGGAGAGAGAACGAAATTGTAGAAAAGTGCTTGTGAGCTAAGTTTTGGAACAATTGGGGGTTCTATTGTTTATGTTAAAATTCTATTAAATTGATAATTCCATTTATTATTATATTAATTTATGAATGTTATTATTATATTACTTGATAAAAATTGATGATTTAGATGTGAATTGCTTGAGGTGTATGAAACCCATTATTTTCGATTTATCTGATGTGTGTATGGAATTGAACTATGAGATGTTGTGTGGAATGTGAATGAAATGTGATTGTGGTTCTTCACACCTATGACCAGGGGTGAGCACGGCCCGAGATTGTTACATGGGTATTGTGACCTTGGTTAACATGTCAGGGGTGAGCACGGTCTTGAGTTAGGGGTAACGTGACCTTGACACAGTGTTATATCAGGGATGAGCACGACCTTGGATTGTTACGTGGGTATCGTGACCTTGAATAACATGTCGAGGGTGAGCACGACCTTGGGCTAGATATGCTACAAGGGAATCGTGACCTTGACATAGTTTGAAGTGCAAGATTTATGATGATTGGTGTGATTGAGAATTATGACGTGATGACGATGCATGATTGATTGAAACACGATATGTTGAAATATTTATGAATATTAAGTTATAATGAGATAATATGTTGTGTTTTCTCATGTGCTATATATATAGATGTTTTCTTTTCTCACCATATGATTTGTGGATGTTTTAGGTGAGGAAGATCCGACTTTGAGTGGCACCTAGAATGCCAACCGTTGAGTTGTGGGTGTGCTCTGATATTGTGACATCGGGACAAAGAAGTCTAGGATAAATTTTTATATGTATTTAAAGTTATACCTTTTCTTTTGAAACCAATTTGTAAACTCTCAAGTTTTATTTTCAATTATTATGTTGGTTATTGATAAATAAATGTGAAGGTTTTATGTGAATCCTTTTAACAACTTTGAAAGTTTATTTTTCTTAATTTAATTACATTAATAATTAGAAATAGACTACATTGTATCCACCTAGTAAAATTATCATAAAAAAATAATATTAATTTTTCCATATATTTTCAAGTCTACTCGATCATAATATGAATATCCACCAGACATTCTAAGTATGCCCTTTTTAGTGGGCCTTTTACTGGTGCTCCTTTAATATATTTTGAATATGGATCATAGCATCCAAATGGCCATCATAATTGATAGCTTACTGCGAGATGTCTCGATGTGACAAAGGTAATTTATTTTTCTGACTAATCTTCTGTATTTTCCCAGGTTTGACCTCTTCCTGTTCTAGTTGAAATTTGACATCAGGATCCCTACCAGTGTCATTGTGCTTTGAATTCTTCAAACCTATTTCCTCAAGGATCCATGTATAGTTGTCTTTCAAGTTTCAACAATTTCTTTTTTTTGTCAATCTCATGGAAAATATCATTAATTTTCAAGATTCAAATAAACAGATATACAACAACGAAAGTTCAAAGCTGAGGCAATCAACATAAGATAAAAGTAGTTTGATACCTCATTTTTATAACACCTCTACCACACCACTCTTGCTTTTTAAGTAACTCCAGCCTTTTTTTTCTTCCTGTTTTTCTTTTTATATAGCAAAAGAACTCCTGCTATTCTATTTTGACAACATTAAGAAGTGGAAACCACTAAAGTTGTCCAATATAGAATATCCTAACTAGTGATCTAAAAATTGGAACAGAGAGGTTAATCTGTTAATTACCTTTTTCTAAAGAATGTTAAGTTTCTGTCTTGTTGACCTGCAATTCCTTCAGCTACTTCGTTTGCCTGATTGTGTCATTCAACCTGTGATATTTGGAATCACTTGGAATGGACCATATCAACTAAGCCTCCAATACTTGCAAGATTAATAAGTTAATGCATATGACCATTGAAGAACCTGTTCCTTCAATTTAATGATCAATCAATTAATTCAAGGATCAATTTAGCTTTCAAAACCTTGAATATAACATGTAGCTAGCCAGCACAAAACTATAGAAAATTGAGACAAGCAAATAGAAATTCCCATGGACATAAAGAATATAAGAAATAACTTCAACTAAAGAAAAAAGATCACGCTTCTTGTTATATTGAACTAAACAAAAATATTTTTTTTACGTAAAATTAACAGCTCTATCATAAGTTAATGCATATGACCATTGAAGAACCTGTTCCTTCAATTTAATGATCAATCAATTAATTCAAGGATCAATTTAGCTTTCAAAACCTTGAATATAACATGTAGCTAGCCAGCACAAAACTATAGAAAATTGAGACAAGCAAATAGAAATTCCCATGGACATAAAGAATATAAGAAATAACTTCAACTAAAGAAAAAAGATCACGCTTCTTGTTATATTGAACTAAACAAAAATATTTTTTTTACGTAAAATTAACAGCTCTATCATATCTTACTTTTGCTTTTCCTTAGAATCATGGATGATTTTGATGTAACCAACTCATTGGAAAGAGATCAATTTCCAATTGTACAGGCGGTAACGTACTACTGAAGATTGAAGAAATCCTGAAATCTTGCGGAAGAGAAGAATGATCAGCTTCAACCAGAAGAATCCAAGAGGTACATTGAAATAAAGACTTAAGTTGTCAGCATCAAAAACATATTGTGTAACAACCATATTTTCAAGGATGTTTCTTCGACACAGCAGATATTTGGCACAAGACTATGTGATTAGCTTCAATTTGGTGTATGTGGTCTGTTTGAGGAGCATTCCCTAGTAGATATACAAAGAGATTGAGTAGTATCACTTCATTGATGTTTTGCTTTTTATTTGTTGTTTATTGTTACTTGTTTCATTATGGAGGGTCCTTTATCTCCAATTTCCTCCATGAAACAAGGAAAAATATTAGAAGGAATTCATTAAAACAAAAAAGAAAATTACGAAGAAATTGGTGATAAGGATTCTTCTACCATGAAAAAGGGATTAAGCAAAAACATCAATGAAGTGAAGCTTCTCAATCCCTCTACATATAGTGCAACTAGTCAGATGTTTAAGGTCAAATAGGATATCCCTGTAATCTCCTCTCCCCATCGTTTGAGATATCATTTATTAGGGAATTCCCCTTAAACAGACCATATACTTTATACCAAATTGAAGCTAATCACATGTTCTCTCTGTCTTAATGAATTCCTTCTTTCATTAAAAAAAAAGGGGAGATAAATTGAAGCAATAAGAAAAGTTTTAAAATGTGATCCATCAACCTAAAACCAAAATTAAATTGTTTGTTGTTTAATTATCCCTTTTATTACTTGTTTGTTGGAGAAATTGACCTATTTGTTATCCCAAGTCATTATAATGGCAACGACATACAACAATCAAACCAAAGGAAATGAAATTTCCAAGTCTTACATATCAATCTAGGTGCAAAATTAAATTGTTTGTTGTTTAATTATCCCTTTTATTACTTGTTTGTTGGAGAAATTGACCTATTTGTTATCCCAACTCATTATAATGGCAACGACATACAACAATCAAACCAAAGGAAACGAAATTTCCAAGTCTTACATATCAATCTAGGTGCATACACTCGAACACAACAAAAAATTTTGTTTGTTGTCTAATAGTAGAAGTATGAAAAAACAAAATGGTAAAGGTACATAATGCATAAATTCAACCAAAAAAATTAAATAAAAATAAAAAAGCATAATTAAAAAAGAATAAACAAAAACAAAAAACAGAAAATTAGGTTCTACAAATCATAAGTGTAAATTATAGAGAATTTCATAATAAAGAAGGAATGTAGGAGTTCCAAGAATGACTGAATTCATTTAGCAAATGCATGAAGCTCAACCGTAGTGACAGTTCTCATATATAACTTTTTAAATGATATTATCGGAATTATAACTTTTGAATCATATATAACTCCTACAAAATCCATATGATGAACAATAACTTAATTATTATCAACATAAGTGATAATTGAAAGCATACCTATTAGTTCGGATAGAAGTTATTTCACAATGATATGGGTTGCATCAAGAAATATTTTTCATGATTGTTGCTGAGAATATGAAAGAAATCAATATTTCTCCACTCAATTCTTGCCCATGATTTGAGGGTGTAGTGGAAGGTAAGGTTGAGGAACATAACCCTGTTTTCTCAACTCAAGAAGGAGACTCTTCAGAATCAAATAGATCTCAACAGATTCCGGGTGATTTCCATCAGCAGCACAAAACATATGGGTTCCACCATTGACATCAATCCAGCTGTATCCAGGTATTTTCTGGACTCTGTTTTCCTTCATTAAACTTCTTACCTTAAGAACACTTGCCCATTCACCAGCATCAGCATGTACATTTGAAAGCAATACATAGTATCCAGAATTTTTTGGGTCCAATTCAAGAAGATGTGTTGAAGCTAGTTTAGCCAACTCGACATTGCCATGAAGCCGACAGGCTCCTAGTAGTGTCCCCCAAACACCTGCATCTGGAGTGAATGGCATGCTCTTTATGGTATCAAATGCTTCATGCAAACGACCAGCACGACCATACAAATCTACCATGGATGCATAGTGCTCCATCCTAGCACAAATCCCATATTCTCCAGTCATGCAACGAAAATAGTGTGTGCCTTCATCAACTAGGCCTGCATGGCCACAAGCAGATATTATAACAAGAAAAGTAACATGATCGGGGCGAATCCTAGCTCCCAACATCTCATGGAATAAATCAAGGCATTCTCTAGGGTAACCATGGTTTCCATAGGCAGCAATGATGCTGTTCCATGAAACTTCATTCTTCCCATCCATCAAGTCAAACACACACCGAGCCAAAGCTAATTTTCCACATTTAGAGTACATATCTATCAGTGCACTTGCAACAAAGGTGTCACAAGAAAATGCATTTCTTATTACATAGCCATGCATCTCTTTCCCATAATAGAGTGCTGATGAATTGGCAGCAGCAGAGAGAGCAGATGATAGGCTCACGGAATCAAACTTGGCTCCACTCATTCCCATTTGATGAAAAAGATCAATGGCCATTTCTGGTTTCCCATTTTGTGAGAAGCTTGAAATCATTGAGTTCCAACAAACACTATCTCTTTCGGACATTCTTTTGAAAAATTCATAAGCAAGATCCAGTCTTCCACATTTTGCATACATATCTGTGATGGCAGATCCCACATTAACTACACTGCCCAGTTGTTTCTTTAGAATATCACAATGCAATTCCTTCCCTAATTTCAGAGCTGCCAAAGCAGCACAAGCTGGCAAAACACTAGCCATTGTTAGGGAGTTAGGCACCATTCCCTCTTGAATTAACCACCTAAAAATGTTTATAGCATCAATATTCAGCCCATTAAGTACATAACCTGAGATCATAGCTGTGCAAACTGCAACATCAACCAAAGTATTTTGCTGGAAAATCTTGCGTGCCATCTTCACATCTCCACCCTTGAAGTATATGTCAATCAGAGCACTCTTCAAATAGACATCAAAAGGTATCCTATGTCGCACTATGTAACTATGAACTTCCTTACAATGTTTGAGACTCCCAGATTTAAGGATAGAAGGAAGGAAACTTGCAAAAGTGACCGAATCTGGTTTGACACCAACAGAGATCATTGCATTAAACAAAGGTGCAGCCTCATCTGTAAATCCATTTTGTACATATCCAGCAATCAATCCATTCCATGTCACTGTATCGGTTTGTGGCATTATATTAAATAACTTGCGAGCATCAAAAAGGTTCCCACATTTCGAATACATGGCAACTAGCGTGTTTGCCACTTGCGAATCAAACTCAAACCCACTACCAATAACAAGACCATGAAGCTGAGTACCAACACAAAATTTCCCTCTCGTAGCACACATAGACAAAACACAAGTATACGTCACCGAACTAGGCTTACAGAAAGAGGTTCTCATTTCACGAAAAGTCTCTATTGTATTGTAAAAATCTCCACATTTCACGTAACCGTTGAGCATGACATTCCACAAAATGTTGTCTCTCTGAGGCAATTCATCAAACACAAGCCTTGCATCATTAATATAACCATTATCTGCATACAACTTGATCAAAGCACTACCAACAAACAAGTCCATATGAAACCCCATGTACCGAATCATATTATGAACCACCATACACAACGACACATTTTTCAAACCTCCACAAGCTTTAATCACATAAGGGAATGTGTATTTGTCAGGTGAAACTTGACTACCCAACATCTTGAAGTAAAACAACAAGGCAAAATCAAACCACCCCAACATGAAAAACCCTCTTATCATCTTATTCCAAGGAAGAGCATAGCACAATTCAAGCCTGAAAAACAAGTTTCCAGCATCCTTGATCCTACCACAAAGAACATACAGTCCCAAAATATTTGAACTCAGTGTGCAAATATCACTCATGCCACCAACAATGACCTGAGTATGAACCTGTCTAACTTGTTGAAGCATAGAAGCATCTGAACAAGCCTGGAACATAGATTCCAATTGGGTTGTGAGAGAATCTTGAGTTCCTTGGGGCGAAAAATGTGATTTTGATATAACATTGTTGCAGATGTTTGTTGCAGTGTGCATGAATTTGGACCTTGAAATTGCAACTCTAAATATAGAGCATAGATTTGTTGTGTTGTACATTTTTCAAAGTGAAAGAGGCATAAACCATAATCAAGTTTCAGAAATCAAAGTTAAGTTGATTCGCTGTTAGAGCATATACCATAATCAAACTTTTCACAATTGGTTTGGTGGCATGTCAAAGCGAAACAAGTAGCAGGAGCCAAACATACGAATATTTTGTTTCATGTTTAGTTCTATTTCCTTTATGCTTGCCTGATTTTATTTTTATTCTTCCCAATAGGACTTCGTTTTTCTGTGCCAAAATAAAAAACAAATTATGAGAATTGTGTTGTGATTTTAATAACAAAATGATTGCTTTATGATACTAATTAATTTTGTCAATTGCTTTTTACTTTGCATAATCAGATAAAAAAACAAATTATGAGAATTTTGTTGTGATTTTAATAACAAAATATTATTTTATGACACTTTAATTTTGTCAATTGCTTTTTTTTTTTGCTTTGCATAATCTGATATAGCATATGATCAACCAATTATTACTAGCAATAAATTGATTATTTCCATGTGATACTGAATTTTAATTATTGTTATATTTTTTTTTGTCTCTTTTAATATTTTACTTTTGATTGAATTGAAATCAATGTTATCAGACTTGATCATTAGGTGACTCGGTTAGAATATTGGATTAGTGGTCAAAAGTTGAACTAATAAATTATCAAATGACTCATATGACTCGATCTATATTAAAAATTTATAAATAATTGACAACATGTAAATTTATGCTTCAAAATAAATATTATAAAGTAAAAACATATTATAAAGTTTCCATGAATAGAGACATTAAAATTTTCAAGATTGTAGATACTTATCAAATCAAAATCAGAGCAACTAAGTAACATAATAAAAAAGAATTAAAAAATCAAGCACAAGCTAGTAGTAAAAGAATAACCTTCACCTGATCCAACCAACAAGCAATACACAAAATAATAAAAATTAAAATGTAGTTAACGACCCATGTGTTGCAACCGAAATCACGATGGGACGGCGAAAAATAAATTAAAAAATAAGGAGTCGCCACCAATGTTATTTTTACGAAAAAAAACATTGAAAAAACCATAAAGTAAAAAATAGTCTACGAAAATCAGATTTTTGAGTTCGGGAGTCGATTACGTGTGAGGAATGTATTAACACCTCACAACGTTCGTCCTAAGACGATTACCTTTAATTAATTAAACAAATTATATAAAATATTTATCTCACTAAAATGATCAAATATATTTTATTTAACTAATGCATTAAAAAAGGTTAAAATTATTATTGCTATATAAAAAGGAAGATAATATATTTTTATTTATAAAAAGGAAGATTATTATTTTTATTTTTTGGCTCGACAATATTTATTTCTTGCTCCTACATATCTCCATGTGTAATGAAGAATTAAATTCACGTAGTTCTTTGGTAAAAAATATTTGTGTGTTGATATTTTTTTAATTAAATTTTATTTTTTAAATATAGGATTCTTGAACTGTCTCAGTTCATTCACCCTAAAAATAT